GCTGGGCTCGGTGGCTCAGCCTGTAATCCTGCGCCTTGGGAGGCTAAGGAGAGTGAATTGCCTGAGCCCGTGGGTTCGAGACCCGCCTGGGCAGTGAGCCCTCATCTCTACAATAAATCAAAAAATCAGCCGGGCATGGTAGCACATGCCTGTAACTCTGGCTACTTGGAAGGCTGAGGCAGAAGGATCGCCAGAGCCCAGCAGGTCGAGGCTGCAGTGGCCGGGAGCAGCCACCGCACTCTAGTCTGGGTGACAGAGTGAGACTCCAACTCAAAAAAAAAAAAAAAAGAAGTAATGAGAGGCTCAGCCTGTAATCCCAACACTTTTAGGAGGCCGAGGCGAATGGATTGCCTGATCTCTGGTTTGAGACCAGCCCAGGCAACTTGGCAAGACCTCGTCTCTACAATAAAATAAAAAATAGCCGTCGTGGTAGCGCACGTCTGTAGTTCCGGCTACTCGGAAGGCTGGGACGGAAGGATCGCCTGAGCCCCGAAGGTCGATGCTGGAGTGGCCGTGAGTGTGCCACTGCATTCCAGCCTGGGCAACGGAGTGAGACTCTCAAAAAAAAGTATTGAGAGTCACCAGACAGGTGGTAGAAAGGGAAAGAAACATAGGCAAGAGAACCAATAAGACTAAGCGACTTGCTTTGACCATGCTGAGTGTTCAGTATGTTGGCCTACTAATTGATATGGGGATGAGAGAGAAGAGAAAGTCAAGGGTGACGGATATTTTCAACTGAAAGTGCCAAAAACAGAAACAGATATTATCAAGGGGAACCAGGTTTTGAGAAAAGTTGAAATCTCTGGCAACAGAACTTGCTGCCATGGCAGGTAGTGAAGATCCATGTCACTGGAGGTATTTAAGCCCCTTATGATGTTGTTGGAAACATCATAAAGAATATACTTCCCATCAGTGCAAGAGATGAGATCAGGTGAACTCTGATGTGCCTTCCAGCTCTGGATGAAACTGGGTCCATGTAAAGTTAATGAAATGCTTTGCCCGAGGTCATGCGGCTAATTCGTGGCAGAGGTAGGACTAGAATTTAGGACTAGTAATGTTTGGTTTAGTATTTTGACCACTAAACTATTTTAACTTTGCTTCTGATTCATCTCACAGTAGGAATTTAAGCTGTACTCTGGGGGCAGGCCAGAAGCCCCATATAAAAGCAAAATCAGTAAAAATTGACTCTGAAATGAAACAAAGCTGCATTTGACTCTGTTGCAATGCAGTCTGACACAGTGGATAAGAGTGTTGAACTTGACAGTCAGATCAAATTGGCTCTGTCACTCACTAGTGTGTTCCTTTGGGCAAGTTATTCAGCTCCTCACACATGAACATTGTTTCCTCGTTTATAAGATAAGTGTAGGCACAACCAGTCATGGCCAATAGTGGCTCATCTCCAAACCAGTGCTCACAGGTGACTCTCAGGCCACAAGGTTTTACCAATAAACAGGAAAGCAGTGTGGCAAGGAGAGATAACATGAACTTTGGAGCCAAAGAGACCTAATTTTTAATCCTGGCCCTGCCACTTAGTAAATCTGTGGCCTTAACCTTCCCGAGCCTCAATTTCCTTACTGTAAAATAGAGATAGTAACATGAAAAATACTCTTTTGTATATAAAGTTGTATGCAAATCACAATGCCTTGGAGCACGAAACATTTTTCTCCAATGATAGCTATTGTTTTTAACAAAGTACCTAGCACAACACCAAGCCCCTATTGGATGTTCACTCAATAATGGTTAGTAGTATCCATTTCTTCCTATTGCTGCTGTACGGCCCTGTGCTGATGTGAAACTTAACTAATGTGGTGTGTTACCCTGGCTGCCTTTAGTAGTTATTGTTACACTATATCTATAACATCATACTCCTAGGCATTTTAATATTCACCACACCACACTGAAAATGCAAAATGGATATTCCTCATTCAATATCACTTGCAGAAACATACCTGAAAAGATTTCTAAAGTTTTTTGGTTGTTTTTTTTTTTAATTAATTAATTTATTTATTTTGAGTTGGAGTCTCACTGTCGCCCAGACTGGAGTGCAGTGGCACGCTTCCGGCCACCTCAGCCTCAACCTGCTGGGCTCCGGCGATCCTTCCGCCTCAGCCTTCCAAGTAGCTGGAACTACAGGCGCATGCTACCACGCCCGGCTAATTTTTTGATTTATTGTAGAGATGAGGTCTCGCCTGCCCAGTCAGGTCTCGAACCCGCGGGCTCAGGCAATCCACTCTCCTCAGCCTCCCAAAGCACGGGATTACACGCTGAGCCACCAAGCCCAGCTTAAAGTTTTACTTTAGAAATTATTGGGCTGCAAGTACTTTGTGATTAGTACTTTCTTCTGCAGTCATGGTGCTTGGGAATTCCTGTAAAATGAGAAAACTAACCTAAGATTGTTTTTCCAACATATTGAACTTCTTATGCATGCCAGATTTCAAAATAAATGAAGTTAACTTTCTGTTACTTTGCTAGTAGGTAAATAAGTATTTTTAGCTTGATTCCGCATTTGACTTTCCTTATATTGGAGCCAATGTATTTTTCTCCAGTCTCAAATACTGTAGGCCTCTGAAAACTTCCCAGGTCCTAGGCACTGAGCCTCTAGTGCTTCTTGCTCTGATGGATAAAACAGCCCTGAAACAGTGGCACTTGGGAAGACTCATGATAAATGACTGGGATCAAAATACACAATCAAAGGAACCCCTTCTCGACCTCCCTGAATGAGGCCAGCACCTACTTCAGGGAAAGCATGTTTGCAACTGAATTGGATTCAGAGCTTGCAAAGTCTCTGGTCAGTCATTTTGGTCAGAAGGTAATGTTTAGGCCAGGCCTGGGCTCCTGCTGCCATCCCCACCCTCTCACTTCAAAGCCTGGCAGCTTGGGTCTGCAACTGTTAATTTGGAACCTCCTATCCCAGTAGGAGAGGCTCAGAGGGAGGACCTGCAAGAGAGAAATGAGTTCCTGGGGAAAAAAAAAGAAAAGAAAAGAAAAAGATTTGCTCCCTGGTGCCCAAGCCAACTGCTTATTGGGTAATGTTTTCCTGGATTCAAAAATCAATGTTTTAGCCGGGCTCGGTGGCTCAGCCTGTAATCCCGCACTTTGGGAGGCTGAGATGAGTGGATTGCCTGAGCCCGTGGGTTCGAGACGCGCCTGGGCAACTTGGCGAGACCTCATCTCTACAATAAATCAAAAAATTAGCCAGGCATGGTAGTGCGCGCCTGTAGTTCCAGCTACTTGGAAGGCTGAGGCGGAAGGATCGCCGGAGCCCAGCAAGTCAAGGCTGTGATGGCTGGGAGCAGCCACTGCATTCCAGTCTGGGCAACAGAGTGAGATCCAACTCAAAAAAAGAAAAATCAATGTTTTGCTTACGCCTGGCTAATTTTGATTTATTGTAGAGATGAGGTCTCGCCTGCCCAGGCGGGTCTCAAACCCGCGGGCTCAGGCAATCCACTCACCTCAGCCTCCCAAAGCCACGGGATTACAGGCTGAGCCACCGAGCCCGGCAGTTTTTAAAAATTCTATCCAGATAATGTTTTCAGCTGAAGACTCAGCCTGAGGCCTACTGTCTCTATTCAAAAGGAGGAGAAACAAACATTAAAGAGCATTAAAAAATGTCTTTCTTGTCTAAGAGGACAACTTCTCCTAAATGTTATCAAAGATTCCAAAGAGAATTATTTAAGGCAATGTTCATGTGCCACCTAAAACCACAGAGACACACTCACTATGCTCTGCCTCTGTGGGAAACTCTTCCTCCTTCCATTTTCAGCTTGGCACCCACCCATAGGGATGAGCTGAAAGTCAGGAAGCTCTTAGTCCCGGCTCTGTCACTCACTCAGTGGCCTTGGGAAGGGTACTCACCCTTTCAGGAACTTGAGCTCTCTCATCTGTAAAATGAAGGCACCAACAGAGATCATCTCTAAGCTCTCTTCCAACTCTGACCCTCTGTCATTCCAAGACTTACTCCAACAGGGCAAGATATCAGGCATGGAAAAAACCCAACTCCTCATGCTGCTTTGCCAGCTGGAGCAGCAAGTCCCTTACTAAGAGTGACTATTTTTTTCTAACTTCAGTGAGAAACTGGGCCACAGAATGGAGACAAATTAGTCTGACTCCACAGCCTTAACATCAACTCTTTCAGGAACGCCTAAGCTAGCCTAGGAGAGTGAGGTATGAACCCTTGGCATATTTTTCTTCAAAGTATAGTTTCTCTTTTTGATAACTTCTCAGTTTCAAAAACAACAACAAAAACATGGAGTATGAAAAACATAGCTGTTTTGGAAGCGGAGAAGCCTTGATTAAAATCTTGTATTTGACACTCTCTAGCTGTGTGATTATGGGGAATTTCCTTAACTTTTCTGGATCTTATTTTGTTCACGTATATAGACACACACACACACACACACACACACACACTCACACACACACAAAGGGTTATTATGCTCATCTTATAAAACTATTGTGAGGGATAAATAACCCAAGTTGGGTTTTTTGTTGTTGTTTTTTGTTTTGGAAATAACTCTGTCACCCATGTTGGAGTGCAGTGGTGTGATCACCACTCACTGCAGCCTCAAAGTCCTGGGTTCAAAGGATCTTTCCACTTCAGCTTCCCAAGTACCTGGAACTGCAGGCACATGCCACCACACCCAGCTAATTTTAAAAAATTTTTTGTAGAGACAGGATCCTCATTATGTTGCCCTGGCTAGTCTTGAACTCCTGATCTCAAGTGATCCTTCTTCCTTGGTCTCCCAAAGTGCTGAAATTACATGCATAAGCCACCACACTCAGCCAATACAAGTATCTATTGGGAGCATTAAAAAGGCACATTATTTGCTGGGAGTGAACAATAGAATGCCAGTGGTGTGCTTAAATATCTTGGGCTACAGATTGCCCTGCAATAGTTCACTTAGGGTATGAACTTCCTAGAAGGACTAGCAGGGCTCCCCCCCGATGACCTATTCACCTACCCACCTCCCCCTTCTGTTCCACAGTCCCCTTTAGGAGAAATGGTGCCAGTCAGAGCCCTATCCTGCCCCCTGTTGCTGTTCCTGCTGCTGGGGCTGTGGGTGGCCAAGATCCCAATCAATGTCAAGCCCACGAACACTACCTCAGCCCAGTGGTTTGAAATTCAGCATGTGCAGCCTAGCCCTCAAGCATGCAACTCAGCCATGGGCAAAATCAACAAGGACAAGAAAAATTGCAAAAACCTCAACACCTTCCTGCATGAATCCTTTTCCAGCGTGGCCACCACCTGCCAGACCCCCAGTATAGCCTGCAAGAACGGTCGTAAAAACTGCCACAAGAGCCAAGAGCCCATGTCCCTGACCCAGTGTGAGTATACCTCAGGGAGGTACCCCGACTGCAAATACAAAGGGAAACAACTGGATGCATTCTTCATTGTGGCCTGTGAACCTCCACAAGAGGGTGACAAGAAGTATTCCCTTGTTCCTGTGCACTTGGATGATGTTGTCTAAGACCTCGTGTGCCCCCCTCCCCCAAGGTCTGCAGACTCTTTACACGGCTGCTTTCCTCCCTTAAGTTCTTTATTAATCCTCACCCCCTTTGCAAACACCATTTCCCTCTCACACACCTAACCTCACATCGTCTTGATTCCTTAGGGGGTTTTATGGATGCTCCAAATGAGGAAGGAGAGAGGGCATTCTCTTTAGCCTTTCACTGCTGCTTATTTTGTTTTCTCCATGTCTGATACTATATGGCCATTCCAGAGTCGAGCACCCAGGATTGCAGCAAGGATGGAACTAGGTTTTCTGGAGCCTATGGCTTATATAATTGTTGAGACCCTCTTACAGAAAAAGAACATAAAATTACAAACGTAAAATAATTCAGGACCTTGGAAGCATTGTGGTTGGACAGTTCAGAGTGATCCCAGACAGGAGCGATTATCCAAGGAATGAGGGCGGGAGAATCTGCCCTGGGCACCCTGTGTCGGGCAAAGGAATGTCTGATTTTGCTGTAATAAAAGACTCTACTGTTCCTGACGGAGCATCTGTTACTGTCTGGGGACAAGTAAGGGGGTTTGGAGAGCCTGTTCAGAGGCCCTGGGATGCCTTCTTATCCCCGTGAGGCATCTGCTTCACCTGCCCTGCAGGCAGGAGTGAGGGCAGCACCCTGAGTAGGCAAGGTCTTGCAAGGGGGGCTTTCTTTCTGGCATTCATCCCCTTGAGGGCTGTCTGGTGGTCCTGTCCCATGTGAAAGGGAGGAAGGGAAGGAAGAACGGGCTGAGCCACAGCCTGACCCTTTTTTGTGTATTCGAGACCTCAGTTCATGCTTCACTGATGTGACCCAGAGCAGGAGCCTCAGCCTTCTGATGTGAATTTCCCTCTGTTGGGAATTTCAAAATCAGTAACTACCAAGAATCTTGATTTGGTCTCAATCACTGCTTTTCTAACTAACTGTGGTGAAGAGGAGCTTTATATCTAATCAGCCATAGACCAATACTTTTGTAAAATATGAAGTGAATTACTAGAAAATGAAACAGAACACATAGATATAGAAAATATGAGCCCCAGCCGGGCTCGGTGACTCAGCCTGTAATCCCGCACCTTTGGGAGGCTGAGGTGAGTGGATTGCCTGAGCCCACGGGTTCGAGACCCACCTGGGCAACTTGGCGAGACCTCATCTCTATAATAAATCAAAAAATTACCGGGCATGGTAGCACATGTCTGTAGTTCCAGCTACTCGGAAGGCTGAGGTGGAAGGATCGCCAGAGCCGGTTGCGGTGGCCGGGAGCGGCCACTGCTCTCCAGTCTGGGCAACAGAGTGAGACTCCAACTCAAAAAAAAAAGAAAATATGAACCCAGATTTTTTTTTTGCTAAAATCACTCTGTCAAATTGCCATAGAAGTTTCTCAATGCTTCCTCTCCGTTTCTGTTCTCATCTTGATAGCTATTCATACAGAGAAAAACACATTATACTCACATACTTATATATACATATACACACATACATACCTCCATACCAACATAAGACACACACACACCCATATGCATATACATACACAGAGACAAATACTCATACCAGTGTGTATCTCACACACACACACATACACACACATACATACTCACACTCAACAGTAAGACACCCTCTTTTTCTTCTTTCTACTATCTCTGCTCCCTCTTCACATCTCCCTGCCTATATTCGGAAAGAGATTTTCCTACACAGACTATGATTCAGAATAAGGAAAGGGATGTCTGATGAAACATGAAGTGGCAGAGAAAGCACAGAATTGAGAAATTCCAACTCCCAGCCCCCTTCTATGCTTTCTAGAACTAAAGCTCACTGCAATCTACCAAAGTCACACCATCCCACCTCACAGCTTCCAAACCCCTCCACAACATGCTGTGCCCATCATAACCACTGTTACCCATCTCTGTGCTTATGTACAAGGAAGAAATAAGGTGAAAGAAAACATTCTTTTACAGCTCTGGCTTCTTCCCAATGTAGCGAACAGGCTTCATTCCTGTGGCTGCACCTTAAATGATGGTGTTTCTCAGGATACTATTCTGAGCTTTCTTTTCTTCTCACACTATACTCTTCTTGAGTGACTTGCTACACTTCCATGGCTCCAACAACCACTTTCCTGCTCCCAAAGGCAGGCATATCTCCAGCCCAAAGTTCCCAAGGACCAGGCATAAATGCCCATCTCCCTACTGTTACTAGCCCCTTCGGTGTCCCATAGGCATCTCGACTAAAAACACTCAGAATTAAGCTCATGATCCGCCTGGCTTCCAAACCAGTCCCTCCCTCTGCAATTAGTGTGGGTTAGTGGAAGCATTATACTCAATAACTGAGGGTCCTAATCTAACGAACATCGGTGTCAACTCATGCTCGTTTATTTATTCAGTAATTACTCACCTTATTCCACATACTGCCTCAAGAGGGCACAAAAGTTCTTGGGTTTCCTTTTATTTTATTTTTTCCTTTTTTTTTTTTTGAGTTGGAGTCTCACTCTGTCACCCACATGCTCCCAATGTACATACATCATGGCCTTGAAGAGAGGGCTGTGATTTGAATTTTGGTTTGTGCAATCACGGATTCGCTGTCATGTTTAGGAGGCAAGATTAAATAACACATATAAAACTATCAAGAAATAAGACAGAAGAGGATAATAAATCAAACAGATTCTGTAACATTTTTCTCTCACCTCTCCTAGGGTTTCATTCATCTCAACCTAAAGTTCATTCTCTGTTTAATGTTAATCTTCCTGTTGCCTATCTCTGGCCTGTCGTTAGGTCTGTAACCAGAAGTAGTCATCACGAAGAGAAATTCAACCATTCAATATCTGTAAGAGTTGTGCCCCCAGAAGCTGGGAAAAGTGTAGAAAAAATTCTGAATAGAATGAATCGTCATGTAGACTAACTATATCCAAACAAGTGGTGTAGCAATCTGGGTAGGAGTTCCTGACTTCCGTGTGTAGGCTGAAGAATTAGATGGAGTGTAACTCGAATCTAGGGATCATGGACTATGAAGCTGGACTATTCAGAGAGTCATGACACAACACCCATAAAACAAGGCTCAGTGGGGCAGCTGGAGCTGGAGGAGGAGATATGCCCAAAAGCCTGGGAACAAAATCTCTACTGAGCCACTGGGAACATCTTTCCCCAAAAAAAATCACTTTGGAAGGGTTCCTCAGCCATTTGGGATGACATAATTATTTTCTAGTAGGTGAGTATGTTTTAATATCCAGAAATTTAGAATTAAGGATAGAAATATTTAAAATAATTGAACACATAGCATTAATATGTTTGTTTGTTTGTTTGTTTGTTTTGAGTTGGAATCTCACTCTGTAGCCCAGCCTGGAGTGCAGTGGCCGCTCTCGGCCACGGCAGCCTCGATCTACTGGGCTCTGGTGATTCTTCCTCCTCAGCCTTCCAAGTAGCTGGAACTACAGGCGCGAGCTACCACGACCAGCTAATTTTTTTTTTTTTAATTTTATTGTAGAGATGAGGTCTCGCCAAGTTGCCCAGGCGGGTCTCAAACCTGCGGGTTCAGACAATCCACTCACCTCAGCCTCCCACAGCGCGGGATTACAGGCTGAGCCACCGAGCCCAGCAATATGTTTGTATTAAGGAAATTGTATTAGATTTATAATTCAACCTTAAAATGTGCATTATTTGAAATGGAACATTATTTTAAAATTAGTTTTGAAACATTTAGGAAAGCAGAAATTGAATAATTCTATTTCTAAATTGTTAGATTTATAATAGTTTGGGGTTTGTTTTTTTTTTGAGTCAGAGTCTCACTCTGTTGCCCAGACTGGTTTGTTTGTTTGTTTGTTTGTTTGTTTGTTTGTTTGAGTCAGAGTCTCACTCTGTCGACCTGCTGAGCTCCGGCGATCCTACTGCCTCCAAGTAGCTGGAACTATAGGCGCGTGCTACCACGCCCGGCTAATTTTTTATTTATTGTAGAGATGAGGTCCCACCAACTTGCCCAGGCTGGTCTTGAACCCATGGACTCAGGCAATCCACTCACCTCAGCCTCCCAAAGCGCTGAGATTACAGACTGAGCCACTGAGCCCAGCTTTTATAAGGGTTTTTAAGTATTCAGGAATGTTTTGTTGGTTAGCTCAGATGGCCTAATTACTTTATAAGGACATGGAATATATTAAGTTTATAAAATGTGTTTTTTAATGCTTAAAGCGTTTCATTAACTTCTTATAAATGGGACCAAATAGCCAGTGAATATAATCCTTTAAGGTGATTATTAAAATTTATTTCTTTTCAAGTTAACATAAAAGCTTAAGGAAGACAGGGCTTCTGATTTGTAACTTTAACATAGGAAACAAATTTTAAGAAGTCAGGGGCCCTCTGAATATTCTTTGCTGAGCATAAAAAGAACATTTAAAAAACTCATTGACAACGAAACTCTATTTTCTGCGATGTTTTCATCTGTACTGCACAGAGGACTTTGGTGATTATATTTTCGGGTGTTCCCATGTTTGTTGATTTTATGGGGCCTTTTAGCAGGAAGGGAGGCCATGTTGAAGCGGAGGCAAGGCCCAGGCCTGTAGATGGCAGTGGTGCCACCAGAATTGAACCCAGACCCATATCTCTCCTAGGCATTCTCCTGCACTGCAATGCCTCAGGGTGGGTTATTCTTCCACTGCATTCTGGAAAAGTGGAGAAAGGGAAGTCGGATTTACCTGGAGCCAGTGTAGGGATGGCAGAGTAATTCAGCAAAATGTACTCCAAGAAAAAGTAAAATTCAGACTGTGGTTGGGCCTCTATCCACTGTAGGAACATTTCCTCTTTGGCCAAACTTTAAATTAAAAACAAAAACAAAACCAGATTGCTAAGCAACCATTTTTTCCCCCAATAAATCAGTGTTTGCCTGGAAGTGGTGTGTGTGTGTGTGTGTGTGTGTGTGTGTGTGTGTATGTGTGTGTGTGTGTCTGTAGATACACGTGTTCATGGTAAGGAGATGAAGTTATGCTAGTGAAATGAGGGGTGCTATA